TTTGTGCCCTTACTGTACATTGTTCTCATCATCTGGAAACCATTAAACGCAATGTTTCCTCTTATCAGCCCCAATTTTGCCTTTGGTCACCGTTCAATACCCTGCCTCTATCATAGATCTATTCATCGCGCCAGAAGGGGGCGTTATTGCTTACTTTGAGAAACGCTGAGCTAAAATAAAAGTCAATGTGTTAGAAATATTCAAGTTGTGACCTTCAATAAAAAATAAAAAATATATAAAATGTCAACATTTTATATATATTCCGTCAAATTTTTATATATAGAATTTGTCTGCCGTCGCCCCTCTATATTTCCTTAACGCCTCCCCAATTCTCTTTGAGCCTTCTACTGCCCCCCTGAAAGCCTCCAGTGCCTACAAGGGGGCTTTATCGCCCACTTTGAGAAACGCTGCCCTATAGTCACCCTCTTTAGCAAGGGCACTCTAATAAATAACGCAGTTTTAAACTGATAAGTTATAGACAGCATACTGTTTATTAAAATAAATACAGTGAGTAGAAATGTAAAGTATATGGAAGAAAATTCTGTTGTGTATGTATAACTTCAATAATTAAACTATTATAAATTAAAAGTTAATTTTTATCAAAAAGAATTTGAAGAATGCAGTTCTATGGAAAATCATGAAGCCATAAAAATAAAGGCCACGAATTTAAGTTAAAATTGATGTTTTTTACATATCATTTTTAACCAAATCAGAAAAAAATATCTCTCAATTTTATAGTAAGCACTACATACCAGAACACCATAAGTTAATACTAATAAGAAAAGTTTTAATTATAGATTACAGATAAACTACATTTTAATAGTTATTACTAAAACTAAAAAATTTTTTATATTATAAAATGTAAAAATTAAATTTTATAATTATTTTAATTATGTTAAATTTAGTTTTCATGATTACTTTCTTTAATAACTGTACAATGGTTTAGTTTCATAATTAGTCTATTAGTTACTTTCACCTCAAAAACATTAAAATGCTAAATTGCATGCTATATTAATTATTACTACTATTAAAAAACATGCATTCAGATTTTAATAATTTTGAATAATTTTTAATTTAGGTTAATATTAGTAAAGATTAACATACAGTTACAAGAAGATTCTCCATCTGGTTCTGGACGAGGAGGCAAAATTTCATCATGTACAAATTTTATGCTTTCATTTTCAGATTTTTTCAGATTAACCCGTTTGCTGCATGAAATAGGGGTAGGAGGACGATAGACAGGAATTTTTAAAGAACTA